ATTTTGAAGAATTTAGTTTGTTATAGCAGTTAGTTGGAGGTTATTTGATGTCAAGTGGGTCATCAGTTTACAATTTACTATTTTTTCAAAAAGTTTAGACATTGTACAAAGTAAAGTTACAGGCCGATAATTTTTTATCAGAGATTTGTCATCTTTTTTATGGATAGGACAAACAATTCCTTCTTTCCATTTTGAAGGTATGCGGCTGAGGCCTTTCCATTCTCTGGATATCATCTACTCTCTTCCTGGATGATGTCCGGACCCCTGCGTATGGAGGATGTGACCTATCGGACATCACTTAATGTTTCCATTTAATTTGAAAGCCTTGTCAGTTTTTGTAATTTTAATATCAACCAAATGGTCCTTTGCTTAAAAACGTACACCCCCTTTTAAAGGTACTCGTTTAAAATAGACAATATGGTCAACATAATTGATAAGCACACAATCTGCAATGATAACTAGAACAAAACCAAGTTCATAAATCAGAAAGATAATCACTTCTTAACACTTCAAACATCATGCCTCCTGTCGTTAAATTTTATGCTTTCGGCTATTAAATCATCCAGTTTATTACAATTCCATATTGGAATTACTATAACAAACACCACAACATTTACTTTATTGGAAAGCTATTTCATAAGTTTCCCAGGCTAAACAGGTGTAAGAAATGTATACTGTTCAAATAAGTGTGGCAATATACGCTAGCGCTGGTAATTTTAGGGGGGCCATTTCGGTTAACTATGCAAAATATAACAGTTCGAGTAAAAATGGAAGTCTAATTATAATCTACCACCATCCCGAAACCAAACTAGCAAAGTCAGTACAGCTACTATGCAAACTGTGAAACGGCCATGTATTTTGACAATCAGCTGAGAAAGGTGTAGGTAATTTCGAAAAAATATTTAATTCAATGCATTAATAGACCTACCACTAGTGTAAATTTTGGGTGCATGTTTGTTTGGGGGACACAGGACTATTTGTTACACCACATAAAACATTTGAAAATATTCAACTCAATAGGCAATGGCGTGCGTTTATCTTAAATATTTAGAATACCATGCATTGGATCTTCTACAATAACATTTGCAAAATATTCAACTCAATAAGCAGTGGCGTGCGTTTATCTTAAATATTTAGAATACCATGCATTGGATCTTCTACAATAACATCTGCAAAATATTCAACTCAATAAGCAGTGGCGTGCGTTTATCTTAAATATTTAGAATACCATGCATTGGATCTTCTACAATAACATCTGCAAAATATTCAACTCAATAAGCAGTGGCGTGCGTTTATCTTAAATATTGAAAATACCATGCTTTGTTTTTCAAAGTAATTGTGCTCATTATCGAAACTCAAATGTTTCGCTCTTTTGCTTGTCAATCGCTTGATTCATTCATTATGCTGTTGTATGTAGGTGAACCTGATCAAAGCTGGAATTGATAAACTCAATAGATAATGGATCTCTAATGATGATTGATTCATTTTATAACATATCCTCTTTAACAATGAGCCAAACATCATCTAATAACACATCAAATTAAAGTACAATATGGGAGGGAAGTGACCTTCTTGACGTGAATCTCATAGAGAGTTATTTTGGCACTGAATAGTGAGTATATGAAATAAATGGGGAGACATAGTCAGTTGGACATTACGATGATTAAGAAGCCCATATGGAAATAAATAATTCAGTAGAAACGAGATGTTATTGTGCGTCAGTCACTCTAAACGGCCAATTACAATATTATTAATAATACTCGTTTTACTTGTTATTGAACACTACATGTATTTATATAGTATTTAAAATATGAATGTACAGGGCATTCAAAGGATCCTGTTTTCGGTATTCGTTGTGAGACCATCTTAATCAATCAAGGTTTAGGAATATGTTGGCCTACCAGGATGTCTAAGATGATGTCATGGACAATATCCTAGATGCGAGTAGAAATAATCTCGATTTACGTCATTTAAAATTCAAAATCCAGTCAAACTGATGTCATATTTGGAATCTACATGTAAAAGTACATCTAGAAATGTGGTTTTGAAAAGAGTTTATCAACTTTGAAAATTGAATTTTCTTTGAAAATGTACGTGACTTCTAGTTCGGGGAGATTCCCCATAGACCCCATGTTGTAAAATCACAAAAATGGAAATATATTTTCTTGCGTTGGGCAGATAATTTTTTTTTTTTACTGTAAATATATTAATTTGTATAACTATCAGATACATAAGGATAATATGAAAAGTGAACCAGTAAAACTGATGAATATTCAAGTATAGGGGAATTTTGTAATACTCTGTCATGTTACTGTATTTCCCCGAATCAGCCACCTGGTGGCGAAACTGGTAACTACCTACTCGCATCTGAGTAATTAAATGACGTAACTGATAACTAATTAAGTAAATATTTGGGATATCTCTCACGAAAACCCGATCAATAGCTTTGCAATGTTGATTTTTCTTCAAGATTCAAACTGATTATTTTGGAATCGTACCGCTCTATTTTAAAAACAAAAACTTTTTTATCTTTCTTGGGGAGTCTAACGTAAACATGAAACCTTCAAACTAAGCATTCCGTAATTTTAGTTACAATGTACTCTGACAGTACATTTACACGCGCAAATAGTTAACTCGAATGTCGGCGATCCCTTTTCATACAACGGACGGGCACGATTCAAACCTCTACAAACACCATCAATCAAATATCACAATGAATGGTATCTTTTGAGAGTTTTTTGGAGGATATATCAGAAACTAGGTCAAATAGCTTCTGAAATAGGTAAGAACCTTGAGCGTCAAATGTCAAAACAAATGGAAAATCAGCATTGCTATAGCAAAACTTAGATTTCCATGGACTAAGCATTTACTTTGTTATAGCTTTAATAGAGAAAATATAAATGGAATATATGTATTTGGAACTTTTCTCTAATATTTTGAATAGAAAGCGCAAAAATATAGATTTTGAAGGTTTGGGTTAATTGACAATTATATATGTGAGAAATCCCCCCCCCCCAAACAAAAAACGCCTACCAAGCTTAGTGCAAGAAATGTTGCACAGTTGGCTAAAAATAAGCTTAGATCACATCCGAATATGAAAAGGTTAAAGCCTCGCGTAACGTCATTCCGTTCTGTTTCCTCTAATTGAATAAGAATGGGATTTAGAAATACAAAACTATAATGATCTTTGTTGTAGTCCCATTCTAGCTTCTGGTACACATAATTCATTTCCTGCATGGTTTACATCTTCAGTGTTGCCCAAATGGTACATTAATGTTCTTGAATGGTTAGTTTAGGGTCGATGATTTTCTATAGTGTCTTGAATTAAGAAAATTCAGTGACCTACTTTTTAAAAGGAATAATTACTTTAAGTAGGTCATTGCATTTTCTCTTTCTTTAAACATCTGAAATATTTATTAACCCTCGATTTTAATGGTCTAAAGAAATCTGAAGAATGAGACTCCCATTAGAAAGCCACCAAAACGTTTGAACATACAGAACTACCTTAAAGATATGTGCACTTGAAAATTCACAGTTGTCCACCAGAATGAGAGAAATTTATGTTTTATATAACTCTACAATGTGTACCTTTATTCAAATTAGTTGAGTAAAAAATCATAATATGTAGCTAGCTACATGCATTGATGTACGGTTATTACTCTAGTGCAATATTCAAACTAACGGATCTTTTAAAGCACATCCCGTTATGATTGAAAACATAATTTGTTCGTTCAGAGACATATAAAACAGTTTTTTATGTTTCTGGTTCGTTTGAGGCAATGGGTCTCCGAGGATTAACTGTTCCAATTGTGACAAACTGACATTAATTCGTTAATCCTTGACGTTTCTACCTACTCATTCATATTACGTAGTCTTTCATTTACCTGTAGGTCATGTCGACAAAAAGAGGTAGTAATGTGTGATATGCATTGCCTCTTCTATTTTTCTTTTTTTATGACAGAAATGCATTCTGATAAAATAAAATGAAGTTACAATTACACTGAACTGTCTTCTTAGAATGAATAGGGATGATAACCTACACGTTTATTAGAGAACGTCCACGTGAACGTGAAATACCAAACCATCCGGGGATAATTATTTCTCTCTCAATTGTTCTTCTAGGGATCTAATCACAACTAATTTCATAATTCATTCATACGCAATAGTATTAAAGTTACTGTAATACTCCGAAACTCATCCCTGAGAACCATGTTTCTACACGTTCACGTACACGCTCCAATAGGGAGTTTAAGCTTGCAATGTTTTTCACAACCTGAACGTGAACGGAAAATATTTAAGCGATGCATTTGTATGGGTGGTTGGTCATACGTATAGGTTGGCGTTTCGATTTTATATGCAAGCTTAAACTCCCTATTATCAAGTGTTACGCAGTTGGCCTGGGCGAAACACTTATCAGAGGTACTGCCAAAATCTAAAAAGCGGGTAAAAGGGAAGCAATACTACAATACAATTTCCTTTTCACAACCTGAAATTGATCAATTATCTTGAATTTGCATATTATTCTATATTTCTTGGACATGGCTTCGCCAATCACCTTACTGGTTATGAATCCCCGCGATACTAGTCTTTCTTCAAGACCCCGGACTATCTACTCTCATGATAGCTTTAGGTTCCGATATTTCTACTGTCATATTTTCTGATTTTGTCATTGGTCATCCCAGAGATGCAATAATTGTATACCCTGAGCGCAGGTGCTAGTTCTAAACACAGACGTTGCTATCTTTAAAAATCAAACGAATGCGAAGGGTAGCCAATAAATATTAGCAGAACATCGTCATCAGGGGATGATACCACCCCATCATGGTAGCATGTGTTATTAGCTGTTTGATATGAGACTAAATCTATAAATTAAAACACTTGCTTCAAGCCAAGCAACAATTCAATTGTGCAACTGAAATAATCCAAACCTAGAATCCTCCCCTTGTATCGCTTTTCTTATTATGTAAGTATATTAATAATCTAGCTTGCTTTATTTATAGGCTTGTTAGACGAGGTCCAATCCAGTCCTACTAGTGTTGCCAACGTTTTACAATGTTTCATCGACAGAAGATCGACACACGCTCTTGAGGCTTAGCGATTTAATGTGGATTTAATACTACCATTATGAGTTTTGGGAGCCATTTCAATATAACGGGCGGTTATTTTGAACCGGTTCATATCTCTGTTGAGACGCAGTTGTCGAGAGTTAAAGAGCAGCAGGAGGATTTGAATAACACTGATACACCTGGCATGGAAGGAAACTTACAAGATATGTTATATACAACGTACAGTACCATCACCCGGGATATAGTCAATCACACACGCGATCCCCCTTGGGGTCATAATATGGATAATATCACGGCTGGGATTTTTAATTGTACGATGGATAGCAACAACGCGACCAATTGCAGTATGACAGGGGAGGTCATGATGATGACAGCTCCCGAACCCTTTCCGATTGCGCATCAAGCTGCATTGATACTTGTATATTCGCTGACGTCACTTCTTGCTGTATGTGGAAATTTAATCGTACTGATAGTTTTTATAAAGGGTAAGAAATCAAGGAGTGATCTTACCCCATTTTTGATAAATCTTGCCTGTTCTGATTTGATCATGGCAGTATTTTGCATTCCATTTACATTCACACCGACAATGCTACGGAACTGGATTTTTCCAAGTATAATGTGTCCAATGGTGCTTTATATGCAAACAGTAGCCGTCACTGCAAGTGTCTCCACCAATATGGCCATAGGATTAGATAGATTCTGGGTCGTCCAGTTCCCACTTAAATCTCGTGCAGTTGGGGGCAAACGTTCAACATATGTAATAGTAATAATTTGGGCGATCGCTCTTGGATTATCCATTGTTCAATTAGTGGTAGGTAGGACAAAGGAGTATCCTTTAGGAAATGGTGTAGTCCTGAAGGAATGTACAGAAGACTGGCCAAATCATACATATAGACGCGTTTATACGTTCTTTATATTGATTGTGACATATCTCCTACCACTAGTCATTTTGATAGTGGCCTACAGTATTGTTGGCATGAACCTGTGGAGGAGAACAGCTCCGGGCGAAAAAGATTCGGTCAGAGATCGTCAACAAAACAAGTCCAAACGAAAAGTAAGTATATTAGGAGACATTTTGGAAAAGTGCTAATACCTGCCCAGACCGTCCTATTTTCTGGTACAATCTTAAAAAGACACATGGGTGTTTATATCTTTATTCTTTTGATGTCCTTGCATTGTCTTGTTGTTAATCTGTTCATCAAAAGAAAATTCAGATAGGACGCCTTTTCAGTTTTTAAAATTTTATTTACCACGTTTTTTAATTTCCCATTAAGATTGGATTGCTTTCCTCAAAAAACTAAGGAAATGCACTCATGCCTTCATACTTCATTTTGCACCAAAAATAACATCGGAAGGAATAGCAATTTATTAAGTATCCAATTAGACGGACCTCAAGGAATAAAATTTGCTGGGAAAACATTTTTATCGAATTGATAATTTTGGATATTTTTTGTGTACAGCTGCTACAGTTTCTACTTCTGTAACACATCGGTGCCATGTTTTATACACTAGCCATGACAATTAATATTTTGATAAGCGGGTGTTCTACTGTCTTCTTTGAATGTTTCTGCCTTACTATGTCCAAGTTTACATAAATAAAATGGGTTTTATGGACAATTGAGCATCATCGGCCACGTCATTCAAGCATGATTAAAGGGACTATGAGGGATGGAGAGACGAAGTGAGAGTCACAAATTGAATGTGTCAATTTTGTTTTCAAAATCACGTGCACGTTCTCGGAAGTTCAAATCTGACTTTAGATTTGACCTTCAATGACCTTCTGAAGGTAAACAAGACCAAAAGGTATTTTTTCAACTTGCTTCTAATTGACCTATTATTACAAAATTATCCACAAGTTCTCAAAAGTCCAAATATGACTTAGATTTGAGATTTGATCTTCAATGTTCTCAATGTAAAATATAAAAGTCATAAAGTTTTTTTCAACTTACTTCAAATTGACCATACAAACAGAAGTTCAAATCTGACTTTAGATTTGACCTTCAATTACTTTTATAAGGGTCAACAAAGGTCATTAAGTTATTTTTAACTTGTTTCAAATTGATCATTTTTTCAAAACCATCTACAAGTTCTCAGAAATTCAAATCATACTTTAGATTTGAGAATTGACCTTAAATAACCTTCTCAAGGTCAAAAAGGTATTTTTCAACTTGCTTCAAATTGACCAAAAAAGCACCTACAACTCAGACATTCGATTCACATCTGATTTTTAGAGTTAAGATTTGACTGTCTCAAGGTAAAAAAGTTCGTTTTTAAACTTGCTTCAAATTGACAAATGTTTTTTTCAAAATCATCTGCAAGTTCTCAATTCTGACTTTTGATTGAACTCATAATATTGTGAGCAGCTAGGTGATGACACTTTGTCATGTTAATGCCTTGTTTATATTGTAACATACACAACTTATATAATATAATTATATCATAACGTATATTTCTGTACTCTAATCAATCCATACATAAGAACACGGGTCTGAAACAACAACAGAAGTGCACATAAGATACACGTACTATCATACGTCACATGGTTTATCTATAGATTGTTTCTACTCGTCTCTCTCCCTCTCTGATATAATGAAACGATGAGGGTTGTAGGAAAAGTATCGTGATGATGGATGATGATGTTCTATGTGATATACGAGGGTTGTCCAAAAAGTCTGAAATTATTCATTTAGCTCAAACAGTGGGGTTTATAAAATCATTTAGAGCATTTTTTATTAAATAACCCAACTGATTCAAAAATAAAACTCTATGTCTAGTGTAGGCATATTTTGTTTGTCGAATAACAAAGCCTTGGAAGGTATCTAGCTTGTCCGATTAGTATGATGCATCGCGGAGAACTATGAATTAATGCAAATAGAATATATCATTTATCAAACCTCTGGGAATTTGAGAGATTATTTAGGTGATATCGATAACAAATTGATGTAAACAATATTTCTCATTTCCAATTTTATTTGTCCCACTTGATTAACGCATCGCTAATATTTTATTTGTTGCAAAAGGCTGTATAATGGAATTGCACGATATAATGGTACAATTTATTATTTGTCGGTGTTCTTTTTCATTCACGACTCACGCCCAAGTTGATCGGTCAATAGGTTGATGTGGGTTAACTCACTCTTAATAATGGAAAAGTACATTTTCATCTCAGTTCTGTATAATAAATAAACATTACTATAAAAGTTGAAATATTTCCAACAATTCTGAGAAGTATTTGGATGGATACATTGATTATTGAGCACCCAAACGTGCTGTTGGATGTGGGAATTTTAGTCAATTCTATATTTTACGTCAGTGCTTTCAATTTCATCATTTAGAGCTTGTAATACAACACTCGACATCCAATTCATTTTACATTTTTTGTAAACGTTGCTTTCTTCATGTTGTACTTGTATCTTCATAAAATATGAAAATGAATAATTTTAATATGAGTTTATCATAATTGCATTCATCTATCTTAACTCCTAAAGTCGATAGATATAAACATGTGAGAATTTGTAATTGTTTGTACAATACATATGTTACTATAGCACCTGATCATCTGCTACATGTTACAATATATATCTTTAATAAAACACTCGATGCTATTACTCTTGAAAAGAACAATTGCAATGTACATATTAACTATTTATTTGATTTTTCGCACTGATAGATTAGTCAAATTTCCATCACAATTGATTTAATCATTTTCACAACGAGTTTTTTCTCATAAAAAGTGGTTAGGCAGACAGGTCGTTCAAATTTTGAATTAGTCTCGAGTAGCATGTTGTAAGGTAAACGTCCATATATTTGATCATTTGATTGCTTTACACTAACGTATACTCTAAAGTGAGAATGATTGCTGTATAATTTGTTCCATAAGTGTGTTATTTCCATTTGTAGATAAATTATAATTCCTCGTCGTTATGATGAGATATCAATGAGAAATACCAGACGTGAATATATTCTCATTCATTTTAGTCTTATCGCCGGGATAGTGTAGATCCCTTCACTAATTTACCTAAGTGCACCTACACGGGCTAGGGGACTATTAATATTAGCGTTGGCTCACTGCGGCTTGAGCAAGTCAACTGAAACCTTTTGGAATCAATATGGCGTGGACTGAAGATAGCTGATGTCCATATCACCTTTATATTAAGAAAAAATATTTTGAAATAATATCCTCGCAGGCGATAACGGTATCTATGTGGTAAATAATACAGGCCAGCCAGAGCAGCGTTAAAGACATAACCGGCATAAGATATATCAGGAAAGTGTTTCACAAAGCCAATATGTGGTTTGGTTATCTCAGATCAAATAAATTCATATTGAAGTGTTATGATCGCGCCATGTTTATTTTCGAACATCCTAATTCAGCATACTTGATAATTCTTCGATTAGGTTGTGATATCAGCTCCAATCATTCATCCACATACTTCCGTTGATTCATTGGGTGTTTAGAAGAGAACGATAACAAACTGTGTTTACATTGGAAGGTTCACAGATTCACAGATGAATAGGTTTATGTACTTCATATCCTCTTTAAAATACAATTATACATCGTAGATTAATTGCGCCTGTTGATGTATTTTATTCCCTTAATTTTTCAAGATTCATCAATTTCGCTAGATTCGCTTTGAAAACCTCATCCCATGCTAATCCAAAATAAAATTGCGTCCATGTGGGAAAACTTAATTGTGGCCAAGTCGTTTTTTGGTTTTGGTTGAAGGAACTTGCAAGTCACCGACTCGCTAATCAATCCACTAACTCATATCTTTAAAGTAGCAGTAACGTCAGGTCTTTTCATCATCTCAATATGTTGTTACAATAGTACAACATAAAATCCAAAACGATAAAAAGCTTATTGTGTTTTAGTTGAGGTGTAATAATGAAAATAAAAATCATAAATTGACCCAGTGGCACAGTTATCTGTTAGACGGGGATTGCCATCTTTCCCCCAGAGACCCGTATGTACAATACGTCTTACTTAAAATACGTCTTTCATGTTATGAGTGAATACCAAGAGGAGGGAAAACCCATTGGTTCAATTGATGACATACGATTTCCTCATTCGCGCACCTCCTTTCCCGGAAGTACGTATATTTATGCTTCCCTCCATCTTGGTTTTCAAAGTTTTCCAATTGACCTAGTTTTAAACCAACCAACGCTCGACTCGCTAAACCAATCAGCGACGATGCCATCTCAATACAGATTTACATTATAAGCGTATGTCATCTTTGAACCTTGGGGTTTCTCCCCCTCTTGTGAATACCAAAAGCTTGAGGTGACAACAGGATAAGTGAATTCGAAACTTCCTAATGTGAATAATTCATTGAGGAAGTGAGATTTTAATGTGAACACTCGCGACGTCCATCCAAGGGAAAAATGAATACCCGGTGATTTCAGCGGGAAGTGGCGTTTCGTTTAGTGGATGAGCTGCGCGCGCACGCATAAATGTGATTATCCAATATGGATATGGGATAACTCCACTATTAAATGGCCCCATACAATTCAATTGAAAAACATGCAAATCTTCGGATCAATTATGAAAAAACGAAGATTTCAGTTACCAAACCACATATACCACGTTATAGCTCCATATGACCCCATTTGAAGTCGAAATGTCTCTAGAAAAAGAGCCACCAAAATCAAAAGATCTGACCACTTTTGCCGCCATCTATTCGAATTTTCAGCACTTTTCAACAGATTTCAAACTCTAGACCACCGTCACAAAAAGTCAAATATTTGTAGTGAACCAAATAATTTCGTAATAATTTTTATGAAATTATATACACAAGAGATAAACAAAATAAAATGTAAAGTCTGTACATTTTCACTGGTGATTTTAAACATCGATTATTTGTCCTTCTACCTTTTCTACCTTTTCAACAGCGACCTTTTCTACTTTCTTCTACCTTTTCTACCTTTTCAACAGCGACCTTTTCTACTTTTTCAAAAGCGACATCTGTGGAGTAATCTCATTACAGCTTAATAAGCGCAGTGGCCTGCAGAGGGCGCTATCACAAACATGTACTGCACGAACCAATTAATTCCCGG